CGTTGCCCAGGAGTGGAAGGGCCTCCCTACTGTCCTCACTAGCAGAGGACAAAGTAGAGCAAGAGAAGGGTGTTCCCCAGCAGATGCCCAGCCGCTCGGCTGCAGCAGCAGAGCAAAAGCCAGACCGCTTTGGTTTTGCGTTTGCTCTTCTTTCCTCCCTTCTACTTCCTAATGTGGATTCCAAATGCCAGGATGGTTAAAAGAGAGAAAAAATTCTTGGAACAAGAGGGATGTCAGGGATCTGAATGATCATCTCATACAACTCCCCCTCACTTTACATATGGGGAAACTGAGACCGAGAATGGAGAAATGGCTTGCTTCGGATCACAGTTCGAACCCAAATCTGCTCATTCTCACTGCATTCCCAGCCCCATCACCACGTGTTTTGTTTCTCTGAACCTATGTCTAGAGTCTCCCCAAAAGCAGCAGCAGGGGAGTTCCCACAAGGGAGTGCCCCAAACCATCCAGACATGGGGTCGGTTGGGATTCCAAAGAAAGAGGTACTGAGCCCCATGGTGATCAGTGCAAAGCAGTTACTAAGGGAGCTCATGCACAGAGCGTTGCAACATATGACAGTGAGAGAAAGGGATGTTCTATCTCGGTATGTCTGCAGCCGATGAAGTTCATGTGACAGTGTTTAAGAAATTTGGCTTAGGGGCCAAGGCAACCAGCTCTTTCCATATTTTGAGCTTTCCATATTTTGAAACCAATTCTCTTTCCATATTTTGAGCAACAATCTAGATATTTTTAACAGTGCCTGAGAATGATCAAGGCTCCCGTTTGGGTTCAAGCCTGCTGGGGAAAACCTGCAGCTGACTGGGTCACAGAGTGGTCACGGTGCTCTGTGATTTTCAGTCAGGACACGAAAAGAAAGTGGAGGGAACTGGGGAGCCCTACACCATGCTGTGGAAATGTTTAATGATTTTTGAAACCAACCTTATCTGTCATTACCTAGGGGCAGAAATCAAAGGTAGTAAAGGAAAAAAAAAAACACAGAAAAACAATATCTTGTTATCCTTAGATATGCTCTATTGAAGAAGAATTAAGGGTGAATATGGAAATAATGATAAAATTTAGCAATACTGAGGCTCCTTATTACATCCCTGATTTTAATTGTTATTTCTTTTTTTTTTTCTTTTTTTTTTGTCTTTTTTCGTGTCCGGCGATGGATTGCAACCCTCAGTGTCGCGCCCGTACCGGACCGGGACCGGCAACAGGATCGCAACCCTCTGTGTCGCACCCGCACCTCGCTCAGCCAGTGAGCGGGAACCGGTCTGTACGTGGGATCTGAACCCTCGGCGGGAGCGCCACTGCACTCCCAAGCGGCGCACTGTAGCAGTGTGCCACCGGGCCGGCCCTTAGTTGTTATTTCTAAGTTGATGATATATTATATCCCAACAGTTTGGAGCAATTTTATATACAATTTATTTCATCACATGTAAAATTATATCCTGTCAGTTTGGAGCAACTTAAGACAACAGCTGGTTAAACAACAGTGACCCTTGTTGATAGAAATATACTTACCCAAAATAAGGTACAAAAATGTAGTCATAACAAAATTAAAAATCATAAATTATTATGATTATTTTTTAAATTATTTTTAAAATGAGAACAATTGAGAGATAGAAAGAACCACAGTGCAGTAATGACAATGGATGCTGTTAAATGGCAGGATTATGAATCCTTTTTTTCTTCACTATACTTTTTTGTTTTCTCCAAATTTCTCGAAAACATGTATTACTTCTGCACAAGAAGCAAAATAGACTTTATATTAAAATTTTCATGGGCCGGCCCGGTGGCGCACTGGAGAGTGCGCCGCTTGAGAGCGTGGTGGCACTCCCGCCGAGGG